ACAACAAAAACCAGCATGTCAGGATGCAGAAAATGCTGACAAGACGGACGCAGTCTTTTAGAGTCTGGATGATCATGTCTCAAACCTGACCGGTAACCTGGCCTCTGTTCAAGATCAAAGCAAAAAATGCATGAATTTATTTTTATTTAATCTATCCTAAATCATGTGTTATGTGTTTTTTGGTACCTCCAGTTTCATTACATCCAAACCCAGAGTCAGCTCGGAAAATGGAAATCAGGACAAACATATGCTATCGGCCATTGGAAGAGTTTCAGATCAGAAAGCCACTCTCCCATAATCTGAGGTAAAGGTGCAGTTTGGATTTGTACCTAGCACCTGCTGTTCCCAAGACAGGTGCTCTGGCCAACTTAGTCTTAACACTAAAAGAAAAAACCTCTGGATATGATACTTCCAAACACAGTTTCATCTAAGACAGTGGGGGGGAAGCAAAATTTACTATGCTTTCTACTCAGTTACTTTGCACATGCATAAAAAGGCTCTTCTACGACAAATCCAAAAGGGGTGATCTCAACAATAGGTGGCAGTTACTTTTCCCCAAAACCACAGCTTGCCTTCGAGTCATTCCTCAAGCCCACTAGGGCCTACACCGTTTTCTAATCTCCCTTATTTAAAACAGCTCAATTAAGTCATCGGCTTTATTGTAGAGTACCCCTAGTATCTGAGCCTGCACTGCGCAATGACAGAAAGAAGCAAAACGGCATGGACAGATGCCTAAAATATTAGAAACGCACCACACCTTAAGTGAGTGAAGAAAAAGAGCAAAGCTTGCGACTCTGGTAGGACTCGAACCCACAACCTTCGAATGGCTCAGCTCACAGCCTAGAAGTCCAATGCGCTATCCATTGCGCCACAGAGCCTGAGTGCTCTGCTTCGTCTAGCACTGTTGCACAGAAAGCACTTTTTAGTACTCTCTGGCCCATGAAAGATCAGCCAACTGCGGACAAGGCACTGCTGGGATTCGAAGCCAGAATCTCCTGTTTAATAGACAGGCACTTTGACCAACTAAGCCAAAGCGCCAAACCACCTTGACAGGGGCTTATTGTTTAATTCCAAAAAAAAAAAAAAAAAACTAACAACGGTAGCGCTGCATGTGGGAATGTCTGGACTTGAAATATTAAAGTCCAATTGGTTGGGCATTACCACACTATGCTATATAAAGCCATGGTCCAAAGCCCTCTTGAACGAGCGGCGTTCTTAAGGATTTGAATTTTGTTAAGAAACCGACTGCTAAACATCCCGCTGCGTAAACACTCGTTACTCTTAACAAAAAGCAAACATGAAACCTGGACATTAGGCACTGCCGGGATTTGAACCCAGGATCTTCTGTTTACTAGACAGCCACTTTGACCAACTTAGCCACAGCGCCAACGCTGAATAGGAGGCAAGACGTTTTTGCACACAGAGACTAAAAAAAGACAGCAAGTTTTAAAATGGCAAGCAAAGAGGTTGTTTAACTCTATTTGTCGCACTATTCATTACGCCTCAAAGCTATACAATTTTATAATTCATTCCGGTGAGCTCTATAAAACAAGCACACGCACCACCTGGACTAAGGCGCTGCTGGGATTTGAGTCCAGGATCTCCTGTTTACAAGACAGGCGCTTTGACCAGCTAAGCCACAGCGCCACGGAAATTCACAGTAAGAGACATTTGCCTGATAACAAAAATCGAAGAAGAAAAAATAATACACAACAAAAACCAGCATGTCAGGATGCAGAAAATGCTGACAAGACAGACGTGGTCTTTAAGAGTCTGGATGATCATGTCTCAAACCTGACCGGTAACCTGGCCTCTGTTCAAGATCAAAGCAAAAAGTGCATGAATTTATTTTTATTTATTCTATCCTAAATCATGTGTTAAGTGTTTTTTTGGAACCTTCAGATTCATTACATCCAAACCCAGAGTCAGCTCGGAAAATGGAAATCAGGACAAACATATGCTATTGGCCATTGAAAGAGTTTCAGATCAGAAAGCCACTCTGCCATAATCTGAGGGAAAGGTGCAGTTTGGATTTGAACTTAGCACCTGCTGTTCCCAAGTCAGGTGCTCTGGCCAACTTAGTCCTAACACTAAAAGAAAAAACCTCTGGATATGATACTTCCAAACACAGTTTCATCTAAGACAGTGGGGGGAAGCAAAATTTACTATGCTTTCTACTCAGTTACTTTGCACATGCATAAAAAGGCTCTTGTGCGGGGCTGGTAAAAAAAACAAGGTCCTGCTGAGATTTGAACTCGGATCGTTGAATTCAGAGTCCAGAGTGCTAACCATTACACCATGGAACCTCAAGTCTCCTGATTGGTGCTGCCCGGGCTAAAGAGATAAAAATGTAAAAAAAAAAAAAAAAGGCAGGCAAAGAGCAAATTTGATCTTTTTTTTCTATTTTGACCACATCGAAAATTGCCAATTTTTGATTGCTCTGAGTAGAATTAGCTCAAATGGTTAAGCGCTCGCTTTACATGCTAGAGGTAGCGGGAACAATGTCTGCATTCTCCACCTCGGTTTTTAATGCCTTTTTACATTGGCTTTTTTTGCAAAGCTGGTGGCACCTTGAGGGTTTAAAGCGAAACAACTTTCGTCAGCTTTGCCGGTTTCCGTGTCGTACATATCATTGCAAGCCTTCAGAAGCCCTATCAAGTCACAGTTTTCTTTTATTCAGCAGCGTGTCCGCAGTGGGACATCAAAGCGCTAAATACATAGCATTATAGAGTGCTGTCGATCAGGCCATTGGAATCATCGCCAGAATGTTACAATCCTATGTTTGTCTTGTCTCATCTGTTTTTTTTCTTGTTCCTGTTTGCTTAGAACACATCTAATTGGCCACTTCCAGCTTGCTTGATCCTGATTGGCCTACAGTGTTTTAAAAAGCCATGACACCACTTCCTTGGCAGCCATCTTGTTTTTGGTCACTTGCTTGTGTTTGTTGAAATGTTTGATTGTGGTATAGTGCAGAGTTTTTGGATGTGTTAGGACTGAGAATATTGAGATTTGTGAGTACTGTTTGCTTTGTTTGACTTCTGAGAGAATATTGAGATTTGTGAGTACTGTTTGTTTTGTTTGACTTCTGAGATTATATTGAGAATTGTGAGTACTGTTTGTTTTAGTGTTTGCTTTGTTCATGATACTTTGTTCCACCGGCTTGTTTGACCTTTGTTGCCTGCTGACATTGATTTTGGATTGTCCTTCAAATATGGTTGCCTGTTTTTGTAAATAGATTGTAAATAGTGTATATATTGGGATAGTAAGGAGTTTGACGCCATTTTCTTTGTAAAACCTTTTGGCCTCTGTTTTTGAGTTAGGTAGTTAGGGAAGTGAATTGTACTTTCTTTTCTTTTATTTTTGATCAGGTAAGTTAGAGATTTAATATAAAGGAATTTTTGTTTGTTATTTTGGCCTTGTCAGCTCCCGAATTCAAACCCCAATAAATCTTTGAATTCATTTTGTTGTCTTGTCTTTCATGTTGTGCACCATCCCTAGACGGTGCGTAACATGAAATAATGTGACTATCTGGGAGGAAGATAGCGTTTTGGTCAAGTGGAAGCAGGTGGACTTAAGGGTGAAGCAGCTAGGCTTTTTGGGTGACTTTCAGTCACCTGACCCTTGTGCACAAAATAGAACAACAACACTGTTTTGCTGAAACCCAGGATCGGACCAGGGACCTTTAAATCTTAAGTCTAATGCTCGCCCAACAGAGCTATTTCGTCTGCCCTTTCACAAGTATCCTGCAGCATTCATGTCTGTGAGACTAAGCAGAATCCTGAAATGCCTCTGAGGTCTTAAAGGGTAAAAGCTTGGGCAGTACAGGGATCGAACCCGCGACCTTGGCGTTATTAGCACCACGCTCTAACCAGCTGAGCTTACCAGCCACTTTCTGCCATGTTTTCTAAAAAGCTCAGAGTAACTGTCATTTTCCGGCCTTCAAGAGATAAGAATGCTATTCCAGCTTTTTTTGTGCGGTGCTGGTAAAAAAACAAGGTCCCACCGAGATTTGAACTCAGATCACTGGATTCAAAGTCCAGAGTGCTAACCATTACACCATGGAACCTCAAGTCTTCTGGTTGGTGCTGCCCGGGCTAAAAAGAAAATGTAAAAAAAAAAATAATAACTGGCCTTGCCAGAAAGTAGCAAAATGTCAATACAAGGCAGTGCCAATGTGCATTGATTTCTGAGTAACTCGTCATTAGGCATGCAGGGCTCATCACACGTTTACTGGAGCAGGACCAGGTAGGGCCTTCAAAAGAAAAGCGCACTATTCCAGGCATTTTGACGACTAAACGGCAGGCAGGGCAAAGAGGCCACCACAGAGCAAATGTGATCTTTTTTTTCTAATTTGACCACGTCGAAAATCGCCAATTTTTGATTGCTCTGAGGGGAATTAGCTCAAATGGTTAAGCGCTCGCTTTACATGCTAGAGGTAGTGGGAACAATGCCTGCATTCTCCACCTCTGTTTTCATGCCTTTTTACATTGGCTTTTTTTTGCAAAGCTGGTGGCACCTTGAGGGTTTAAAGCGAAACTACTTACGTCAGCTTTGCCGGTTTCCATGTAGTACATATCATTGCAAGCCTTCAGAAGCCCTATCAAGTCACATTTTTCTTTTATTCAGCAGCGTGTCCGCAGTGGGACATCAAAGCGCTAAATACATAGCATTATAGAGTGCTGTCGATCAGGCCATTGGAATCATCGCCAGAAGCAATGTGACTATCTGGGAGGAAGATAGCGTTTTGGTCAAGTGGAGGCAGGTGGACTTAAGGGTGAAGCAGCTAGGCTTTTTGGGTGACTCAGTCACCTGACCCTTGTGCACAAAATAGAACAACAGCACTGTTTTGCCAAAACCTGGGATCGAACCAGGAACCTTTAGATCTTCAGTCTAACGCTCTCCCAACTGAGCTATTTCGGCTGCCATTTTAAAGTATCATTCATGTCTGTCAGACTAAGCAGAATCCTGAAATGCCTCTGAGGACTTAAAGGGTAAAAGTTTATCCAGTACGAAGATTGAACCCGCGACCTTGGCGTTATTAGCGCCACGCTTTAACCAGCTGAGCTAACCAGGCACTTTCTGCCATGTTTGCTAAAAAGCTCAGTATAACTGTCATTCTCCGGCCTGCAAGAGATAAGAATGCTATTCCAGCTTTTTTTGTGCGGTGCTGGTAAAAAAACAGGGTCCCACCGAGATTTGAACTCGGATAGCTGGATTCAGAGTCTAGAGTGCTAACCGTTACCTAACCATGGAACCTCAAGTCATCTAATTGGTGCTGCCTGGGGTAAAGAGAAAAAAATGTAAAAAAAAAAAAAAACGGCCTTGCCAGAAAGTAGCAGAATGTCAATACAAGGCAGTGCCAATGTGCATTGATTTCTGAGTAACTCGTCATTCGGCATGCAGGACTCCTCACACGTTTACTGAAGCAGGACCAGGTAGGGCCTTCAAAAGAAAAGCGCACTATTCCAGGCATTTTGACGACTAAACGGCAGGCAGGGCAAAGAGGCCACCACAGAGCAAATTTTTTTTTTTCTATTTTGACCACGTCGAAAATCGCCAATTTTTGATTGCTCTGAGGGGAATTAGCTCAAATGGTTAAGCGCTCGCTTTGCATGCTAGAGGTAGCGGGAACAATGCCTGCATTCTCCACCTCTGTTTTTAACGCCTTTTTACATTGGCTTTTTTTGCAAAGCTGGTGGCACCTTGAGGGTTTAAAGCGAAACTACTTACGTCAGCTTTGCCGGTTTCCATGTCGTACATATCATTGCAAGCCTTCAGAAGCCCTGTCAAGTCACAGTTTTCTTTTAATCAGCAGCGTGTTCGCAGTGGTACATCAAAGCGCTAAATACATAGCATTAAAGAGTGCTGTCGATCAGGCCATTGGAATCATCGCCAGAAGCAATGTGACTATCTGGGAGGAAGATAGCGTTTTGGTCAAGTGGAAGCAGGTGGACTTAAGGGTGAAGCAGCTAGGCTTTTTGGGTGACTTTCAGTCACCTGACCCTTGTGCACAAAATAGAACAACAGCACTGTTTTGCTGAAACCCAGAATCGGAGCAGGGACCTTTAAATCTTAAGTCTAATGCTCGCCCAACAGAGCTATTTCGTCTGCCCTTTCACAAGTATCCTGCAGCATTCATGTCTGTGAGACTAAGCAGAATCCTGAAATGCCTCTGAGGCCTTAAAGGGTAAAAGCTTGGCCAGTACGGGGATCGAACCCACGACCTTGGCGTTATTAGCACCACGCTCTAACCAGCTGAGCTAACCGGCCACTTTCTGCCTAGTTTCCTAAAAAGCTCAGAGTAACTCATTTTCCGGCCTTCAAGAGATAAGAATGCTATTCCAGCTTTTTTTTGTGCGGTGCTGGTAAAAAAAACAAGGTCCCACCAAGATTTGAACTCGAATCGCTGAATTCAGAGTCCAGAGTGCTAACCATTACACCATGGAACCTCAAGCCTTCTGGTTGGTGCTGCCCGGGCTAAAGAGAAAAAAATGTAAAAAAAAAAAAAAACGGCCTTGCCAGAAAGTAGCAGAATGTCAATACAAGGCAGTGCCAATGTGCATTGATTTCTGAGTAACTCGTCATTTGGCATGCAGGGCTCCTCACACGTTTACTGGAGCAGGACCAGTTAGGGCCTTCAAAAGAAAAGCGCACTATTCCAGGCATTTTGACGACTACACGGCAGGCAGGGCAAAGAGGCCACCACAGAGCAAATGTGATCTTTTTTTTCTAATTTGACGACGTCGAAAATCGCCAATTTTTGATTGCTCTGAGGGGAATTAGCTCAAATGGTTAAGCGCTCGCTTTACATGCTAGAGGTAGTGGGAACAATGCCTGCATTCTCCACCTCTGTTTTCATGCCTTTTTACATTGGCTTTTTTTGCAAAGCTGGTGGCACCTTGAGGGTTTAAAGCGAAACTACTTACGTCAGCTTTGCCGGTTGTAGCCATTTTTTTTTCTTTGCCGTTGTCAACTACGGTATGTAGTACATATCATTGCAAGCCTTCAGAAGCCCTATCAAGTCACAGTTTTCATTAATTCAGCAGCGTGTCCGCAGTGGGACATCAAAGCGCTAAATACATAGCATTATAGAGTGCTGTCGATCAGGCCATTGGAATCATCGCCAGAAGCAATGTGACTATCTGGGAGGAAGATAGCGTTTTGGTCAAGTGGAAGCAGGTGGACTTAAGGGTGAAGCAGCTAGGCTTTTTGGGTGACTCAGTCACCTGCCCCTTGTGCACAAAATAGAACAACAGCACTGTTTTGCCGAAACCCGGGATTGAACCAGGGACCTTTAGATCTTCAGTCTAACGCTCTCCCAACTGAACTATTTCGGCTGCTATTTCAAATTATCATTCATGTCTCTTAGACTAAGCAGAATCCTGAAATGCCTCTGAGGCCTTAAAGGGTAAAAGTTTATCCAGTACGAAGTTCGAACCCGCGACCTTGGCATTATTAGCACCACGCTCTAACCAGCTGAGCTAACCAGCCACTTTCTGCCATGTTTGCTAAAAAGCTCAGTATAAATGTCATTCTCCGGCCTTCAAGAGATAAGAATGCTATTCCAGCTTTTTTTGTGCGGTGCTGGTAAAAAAGTGGAAGCAGGTGGACTTAAGGGTGAAGCAGCTAGGCTTTTTGGGTGACTTTCAGTCACCCAACCCTTGTGCACAAAATAGAACAACAGCACGGTTTTGCTGAAACCCAGGATCGGACCAGGGACCTATAAATCTTAAGTCTAATGCTCTCCCAACAGAGCTATTTCGTCTGCCCTTTCACAAGTATCCTGTAGCATTCATGTCTGTGAGACTAAGCAGAATCCTGAAATGCTTCTGAGGCCTTAAAGGGTAAAAGTTTGGCCATTACGGGGATTGGACCCGCGCCCCTGGCGTTATTAACACCACGCTCTAACCAGCTGAGCTAACCGGCCACTTGCCACCATAATTGCTAAAAATCTGAGAGTAACTGTCATTTTCCGGCCTTCAAGAGATAAGAATGCTACTCCAGCTTTTTTTGTGCGGTGCTGGTAAAAAAACAAGGTCCCACCGAGATTTGAACTCGGATCGCTGGATTCAAAGTCCAGAGTGCTAACCATTACACCATGGAACCTCAAGTCTTCTGGTTGGTGCTGCCCGGGCTAAAAAAAAAAATGTAAAAAAAAAAAAACGGCCTTGCCAGAAGGTAGCAAAATGTCAATACAAGGCAGTGCCAATGTGCATTGATATCTGAGTAACTCGTCATTCGGCATGCAGGGCTCATCACACGTTTACTGGAGCAGGACCAGGTAGGGCCTTTGAAAGAAAAGCGCACTATTCCAGGCAATTTGACGACTAAACGGCAGGTAGGGCAAAGAGGCCACCACAGAGCAAATTTTATCTTTTTTTTCTAATTTGACCACGTCGAAAATCGCCAATTTTTTGATTGTTCTGAGGGGAATTAGCTGAAATGGTAAAGCGCTCGCTTTGGATGCGAGAGCTAGCGGGAAAATGCCTGCATTCTCCACCTCTGTTTTTATGCCTTTTTAAAGCGAAAAGGTTTAAAGTGAAACTCTCTTGATTCAATCATCACCAGAAGCGACGTGACCATTTGGAAGTAAGATAGCTTTTTGGTCAAGTGGAAGCAGTTGGACTTAAGGGTGCAGCAGCTAGGCTTTTTGGGTGACTTTCGGTCACCTAACTCTTGTGCCCAAAACAGAAAAACAACACTACTTTACCAAAGCCTGGATCTAACCAGGGTCCTTTAGATCTTCAGTCTAACACTCTCCCAACTGAGCTATTTCAGCTGCCATTTCATTGTTTTTCTGCAGCATAGACGTGTGTAAGACCGAGCAGAGCCCTTAAATGCATCTGAGGCCTAAGAGAGTAAGAGCTCGGCCAGTACAGGGATGGAATCCACAACCTTGCCGTTATTAGCACCATAGTCTAACCAGCTGATCTAACCGGCCACTTCCTGCCTAAAGCACTAGAAAGCCCAGAGTAACTGTCATTCCCTGGCCTTCAAGAGATTAACATTCTATTCCAGCTTTTTTTTGTGCGGTGCTGGCAAAATAACAGATCCCACTAAAATTTGAACTCAGATCGCTGGATTCAGAGTCCAGAGTGCTAACCATTACCCCATGGAACCTTAAGCTTGTTGTGTGGTGCTGTCAGAGCTGTAGGGAATGAATAAAAAAAAAAAAAACCGGCCTTGCAAGAAAGTAGTAGAATGTCAATCCAAGGTGGTGCCAATGTGCATTGATTTCTGAGTAACTGAGTCATTCTGAGTCATTCGGCATGCAGGGCTCCTCACACGTTTACTGGAGCAGGACTAGGTAGGGCCTTCAAAAGAAAAGCGCGCTATTCCAGGCAATTTGACGACTAAACAGCAGGCAGGGCAAAGAGGCCACCACAGAGCAAATGTGATCTTTTTTTTTTTTTTTTTGACCACGCCAAAAACTACCAATTTGAATTTTTCCGAGGGGAATTAGCTCAAATGGTAGAGCGCTCGCTTAGCATAGGAAGGGGCCCAATCTTTTCGCTCACTCGCAAGCGAACAAGCCGCAAAAGAACGGAAAAAATGCGACAAATTTCGCTTGCAGTAGTGTTCGCGGCTTTGTGACTGTGCATAATGTGGTATTTTAGTTGCATATTGCATGTCATTCTAAATGTCATTTTTTGCGTGCTGGATTCGAACACACGATCTGTGTAACACAATATCCAATCAGTGTCGGTTTCAGCGGAGCCAATCAGCTGCGCTCTTATTGAAATTTCACTGACGTAACACAGGCAATTATATTGATATTACTATTATTATGTGGATATTGTTCTTAAAAAGCATATTACGTTAATTAAAAATGAATGAAAATGTTTCAATTAAACATATGTATGCATGTTTATGTATATATAAGTATATTATATATATATTTATTTATTAATATATAAATATATACTATACTATATATATATATATATATATATTAATATATGTTATATTTCTTTATGTAATAACTTTAAATGAATGCACACAAAAACAAGTAATATGCAAAATGGTTTATTAAAATGAATACAAATATTAAAATCGCAAAACAATTTAAAAAAT